ACAGCGAAAGTGAAGAGAAAGAAAGTGAAGGACGGGGAAGTAGACGGCGAGGGTGACGAAGGTGAAGGTGCCAGCAGCCATAGCCGAGGTGAAGGGTTGACCAGGGCGTTGACCAGAGGGTTGACCAAGGGTTGACCAGAGGGTTGACCAGGGTGATTGACCAAGCGTTGACCAAGGCGTTGATCGGAGCTGCCGACCAAGATTTTGACCAAGCTGGAGTTGGTGATATCTCGTTGACCTTACAGCCTATCCCCTTACCTTGTGGATGTGCACTTACCACACGGTACTTGCTGAGTCTGTCTATCTCTCTTTCTGCATTGAGTCTCTTCTGTCCTAGGTGTTAGGACTCTGTGGATGAAGGATAGGGCCTTGCTGCCAAACCTGCACGGGCTTAGTAGGACCAAAGCTCTACTCTGGCATCTGGAGACCTGGGCATGCGAGGCGAGCGCTCGTTAAACAACTCGTCTAGCCCAATGACCGGTACTGTCCGGCAGGTCTACTGAGTTTAGTGTGGAGGGTCTGAACTCCGAGCTGTAGGCTGAAATGAGGGTCGTCTTTAAGTGTTGAGGCCTGGTTGAGCCACTCCCCTACCGGACCTACTACAACTGATGATCTGTGTCTGACGACTCGACTGTCCCGAGGGATACGAACCCCTCCAAGGACCGGTACAGATCGGCGGGCTGCTCGGTGTGGCACAGTAGGCTGGAACGGTTGAGTTGTGGGCTGAAATCGCCAGAGGAACCAAGCTGATCGCGTCGTCCTGTCTGGGGGAGTTTGGGGGATCTCCTTAAATGCCTCCTGATCAGCTCTTGGTTCTGTAGTGACAGCCTTAGAGTAGTCTTGGGTTCGTAGTGACCATAGTTGACAGGGTCTTACCCTGTGGTCKTTAGGGAGTYAGTCAGTAGGTCAGTGTGTCCGGGTAGGTCTACGTGGTGAGGAGTGGGACATTGTCGTGCACCTGACGCCACGATGGATGACTATCCGATGTATGGGTTGCTGGTGAGGTTCTCTCTTTGGGGGACCCTCTGGCGTCTCCTCTTTCCTCTGGGGTTTTGGCACACCTTTACGTGTAGAGTAGACACCCGGGGTGGTGCCTCCACCAAGCCATATACGAAGGAGGAGGAGGCGAAGATGGCCGCCATTCTGCAGGAGAGGCAGGAGAAGAAGGAGGCCATGAAGAAGGCCTTGAAAGAGGAACAGACGGCCAAATTAAAGAAGATGGAAAAAGAGATGGCCAGGGAGAAAGAGAGGTTGAAAAAGGAAGAAGAAGAGAAGCTGAAGGAGGTGGATGAAGAAGAGGAAGGTCCGCCACTGCAAAAGAATAGTGGACAGCACAGTGGCAGCAATGGTGGGGACCTGGAGAAGAAGATTTCGGAGTGGGTCGCCAACTTGTCCCTGGGCGAGGAAGAAGAGGTGATGATGTATATCCCCAAGGATGACCAGGAAGCTGCCCTGAAGAAATGGGAAGCAGAAAAGGATGTGCTAAAGCGGCAGGCGATGGAGGATGAACAGAGGATGGAGTGAAAACTCGCGACGATGAGAGAGAAGAAGAGAAGGGTGGAGGCGGCGAGTGAGGCGGTCAAGGAATTAGAAGAAGTGCAGAAACTAAGTCTAAAGTTGACCCCTCAGGTAGATCTCTAACAGAAGGTAGAGATCCTTGCCCAGAGCGTCGAGCGGTTAACAAAGATACAAGAGCAGCAGTACGAATTTAGTCGAAGCCAGGACATAGTTGTGCGCTCGATGCGAATGGGATTTCGGGACTTTGCACGTGAACTGATAGGGGCCGTAGGGGCCGAGGTGAATCATCGCCTCGAGAAGACAGAGCGCTTTTGCGTTGGCGCCATTGAAGGCGTCAAAGTGGCAGCCCCCAAGGAGGAGAAACCACGCCCGCCGCGTAGAGAGCCGGTCAAGGTCAAATTCCCTGATTCCTATAGTGGGAAAAGGGAAGAGAACTTTGACAACTGGGAAGCCAACGTTAAGACCTATGTGCATCTGCAACAGGTCTCCCCAGACCAGCATGTCCTGATCGCGATCCACGCGCTTAAAGATGAGGCCGCCAGTTTTGCAAGGTCCCTAGTGCGCGCCGCTAACTGCAATGACGATCCAGTTGCCTATTCGTCATTCACCTCCCTCGCTGAGTTCATGAAATTGTTGCGCGAGCGATTTGCTGATGTYGCTCGAAGTGTCAAAGCCTCAGACAAGCTTCAGACGRTCYATGCCYGYAAGTGGAAGAGTGCCAGGGCACTCAAGAGCACAATGGACGAACTAGTAGCTGTCCCTGACCACGGGGTTACAGACACCCAGTTGGTTGCTCTCTTCTATAGAGCGATGCCCGAAGCTTTTCGCGGGCACTTCTTCGCGAAGAGCGAAGACCCTGCCACCACTTACGATTCCCTTAGTCGTGAGGTGGTGGCTTTCGAGGCCAAGTCTATGTCAGTTTCCACCTTCTGGCACAAGGACTTGGACAAGGGTAAGCAATGGAAGGGCCGCACTATCTCAGGGCAAGTGAAGACTAAGGATAGCCTTGTCCTAACTTTAGACGAGGGTAGTGTGGATGAGATCCCCTACGATCAGATTGAGTGGGGGTTAGAGAAGGATGACAGCGTTGTGGGCCAGGGGAGGACTTACGCTGCTGTCGCGGCTGGAGGGAGGCCGCAAGGAGGAAGAGGCCAGGGCCAAGGGGGCCGGGCCTCAAGGAGTCGATTTCAGGGCGATCAGGGGGTTGGCGGCACAGGAGGAAACCGCCAAGTGGGAGGCAGGGGTCAAGGTCCCCCGCAAAACCGTCCTAGAAATAGGTCTCCCTATAGGGTAGGAGGATGGCACCCAGGGCTACCTCAGGGTAGGCCTTGGGAATCTTTGGGTCTGGACCAGGCTTTATGGCAACAATGATTGGACCAGGGCCAGTGCATTTTCTGCGGTGACCTGTGCCATATCATCAAATACTGTCCTAAGTATCGCGAGACCTGAACGGCTGCCCAAGGGCCAAAAGGCAGCCGCCGGTAGGGGTAGCAATTGCCCCTACCATTAGGCCATGTGGGGAACACAGCGCTAGCCGGCAGGAGACTCCCACACCACATGTGCCTATGGCAGAGGTTGCAGGCCGGNGTCTATGTCAGTTTCCACCTTCTGGCACAAGGACTTGGACAAGGGTAAGCAATGGAAGGGCCGCACTATCTCAGGGCAAGTGAAGACTAAGGATAGCCTTGTCCTAACTTTAGACGAGGGTAGTGTGGATGAGATCCCCTACGATCAGATTGAGTGGGGGTTAGAGAAGGATGACAGCGTTGTGGGCCAGGGGAGGACTTACGCTGCTGTCGCGGCTGGAGGGAGGCCGCAAGGAGGAAGAGGCCAGGGCCAAGGGGGCCGGGCCTCAAGGAGTCGATTTCAGGGCGATCAGGGGGTTGGCGGCACAGGAGGAAACCGCCAAGTGGGAGGCAGGGGTCAAGGTCCCCCGCAAAACCGTCCTAGAAATAGGTCTCCCTATAGGGTAGGAGGATGGCACCCAGGGCTACCTCAGGGTAGGCCTTGGGAATCTTTGGGTCTGGACCAGGCTTTATGGCAACAATGATTGGACCAGGGCCAGTGCATTTTCTGCGGTGACCTGTGCCATATCATCAAATACTGTCCTAAGTATCGCGAGACCTGAACGGCTGCCCAAGGGCCAAAAGGCAGCCGCCGGTAGGGGTAGCAATTGCCCCTACCATTAGGCCATGTGGGGAACACAGCGCTAGCCGGCAGGAGACTCCCACACCACATGTGCCTATGGCAGAGGTTGCAGGCCGGTGTCTARATGGYTGTCCASAGACTGCTTGTGTTAGAGTCTCTCTAGACACCTCCCTCACAGGCGTGGCCGAAGAGTTGAAGGAGAGGATGCCCGCCTGGGCCAAGATGAAGAAAGAACAGAAAGGGCAGCTAATTTGGTAGATGTAGAGATTTTTAGAGGTAGGGTAGGGGCCCTAGTATATTCAGGGGCTACTCGCAGCTATATTAGTAGAAAAGCGCTGCAGAAGTTGAAGCGGGGACTTAAGATCCAAAAGCTAGCAGACCCTATAGTTAGTATCCTCGCAGACAACCGTATGATGGTTGTGGAGGAGTATGTAGAGGGAGTCCAGGCGTATTTTCGCCTAGAGAAGGATGGGAAAGTGGAAAGGGTCCCCCACTCCCTGACTCTCCTCGTAGAAGACAACCTCCCATTTGATATTGTCCTAGGAATGGATTGGGGAGAGGCAGCCGGGGCCACGCTCCATTTGAGGAGCACGAGTGTAGGCTCCCTAGTTCTTCAGGCGAGGCTAAGACTGCCCGCCTGTTCCATGTGTCAAGAGTAGAGAATCCCTTGGCACATTGCTGTCTTAGTGCCCCTGCGTTCGCCAGGGTAGTGAAAAAGGAGAATTTGGAGGAATAGGTTTTTGTTGCCTATGTTAGGCGAGTGACTGAGTCTACGGAAGAAAAGTCGATGGACCCTGCGATTGCCAAGCTGCTGGAAGAGTTTAAGGATTTGACTGAACCGCCAACAGGCACGGTGCCGCGGCCCATCCAGCACCGTATCGAGATAGAGCCTGGCAGTAGAACTCCTAAGGGTGTTGTGTATAGGATGTCCCTGCGGGAGTTAGAGGAGCTTCGCAAGCAATTAGACGAGCTCCTCGAGAAGGGTTGGATTAGGCCCAGTTCGTCTCCTTTCGGAGCGCTTGTTCTCTTTGTTCCTAAGAAAGAGGGAGAGCTGAGAATGTGCATAGACTATAGGGGTCTGAATGCTATTACAGTAAAGAATGTTGAGCCACTGCCTAGGATAGACGATCTCTTAGATCGAGTGCAGGGGGCAAAGTATTTTTCCAAGATAGATTTGAAGTCTGGGTATCATCAGATAGAGGTGCATCCTGATGATCAGTATAAGACAGCCTTCCGGACTAGATATGGGCACTACGAGTTCATAGTGATGCCCTTTGG